GTGTGTGTGTGTGTGTGTGTGTGTGTGTGTGCACGTGTGTACACAATGGAATATTATTTTGCCACAAAAAGGAATGAGTTACTAATACATGCTACAACTTGGATGAACCTTGAAAAACATCATGCTAAGTGAAATAAGACAGACACAAAAGGCCACAAACTGTTTCCATTTATATGAAATACAATGGCCAAAATAAGCAAATCCATAGAAACAGAAAGCAGAATGGTAGGTCCCAAGAGATCAGAGCATGGAGCAGAGGTGGGGAAAGGGCAGGCAGGGATAGTGAAATGATTACCCATTTCAGGTACAGTTTTGTTTTTGGGGTGATGAAAATGTTCTGGAATTAGATAGCAGTGATGGTTGTACAACCCTAAAAATGTATTGGCAGTCATTGAATTACACACTTTACAAGTGTTAAAATTATAAATTTTAAGTGAACTTTACCTCAATTAAAAAAAAAAGTGGTTGCCCTTGGGCACAGACAGAACTTGCTTCCTCATTATAAATCCCTTTTTTACTACTTAATATTTTCTTTGTACCAAATGGTGTCAAACAGCCAGAAAAATAAACACAAACTGATTTCTCAGCTAAATTTAAAACATCAGAAGTTACTATTAAGGGAGAATTAATATAGAATGATCACCTCTGAATTATGTCCTGCATATTCTTCTTGTCCTCTCTAATCCTATTTCTTTTCCCATTTATGTTATAGCACCATGACAGATGTAGTTCACTGATAACAATTTAAAAATTTGGGAACTAAATCATTAGGTAAATCATATATACTTCTTCCTTGCAGAGAATAAAAAATAAATTTCAGGGACACCTGGGTTGCCCAATCAAGTTAAGTATGTGACTTCGGCTCAGGTCATGATCTCACAGTTCGTGAGTTCAAGACAGACATCAGGCTCTCTGCTGTCAGCACAGAGCCTGCTTCGGATCCTCTAGCCACCCCCTCTCTCTCTGCCCCGCACCCATGCACGTGCATGCAGTTTTTCTCTCTCTCTCTCTCTCAAAAATAAACTTGAATTAGTTAATTAATTTCAAGTGAAACTAGCAACAGGATTGAACAAATGTACCTAAAGTTTTCCCAGAGAAAACTGTGGTCAATTCATAAATAATTATAGTACAACTTGCTATTAATGACATTAAATTTCCTGAGTTTTCCTCCAATTGAAAGTATTAGAGTCCAAAGTCTTCAACAGTTTTTCTTTTGATATAAGTTTCACATAGTACATACAAAGAATTTAATACTCACTTATCAAGGAAATCCTTATCCACTACAGCAGTGATGTCAAGAAGAGGATTTCCCATCCCAAAGAGAATATTTTCACTAAAAAAAAGCACACAAAAATGCAAGCACAAGTTAGAAATACTTCTAAAAGTAAGCTGATGTATAAAATGCACACAAATATAAAAATATGTATCTTCACTTTACCTCAAAAATAAACCTAACATGCTAGTTTATTAAACCTTTGATTTGCTTTTTACATTTCAGACAACATTTTAGAGGTAGCATAAGCTATTTAGAAAGGAGGATGACTTTCAAATTAGATCAAATAGAAGAAACCAGATCATGTGACCTTTTTTCATAATATTCAACAGCTAATGACCAAAGCTAATTAGACTTTTTTTTTTAAGTTCTATCATAACAAAAGTTCTATACCCAACAAACATGACAGATAATTAACTTTATCTAGCTAGTAAGATACCCAACTACCAAAAGTGATTAGGGAGGTTGCAGCAAGTCCTCCAGGAGTCCAGCCAAAAGCCCCACCTTGGACAAACTGAATGTGGTGAGACCCACACAATGAGTATCACAGATAGTGAAATTTTCAATTACGTTTAACAGACTTCAAAGAAGTCTATGTTCCACAATGATCCCAGTGTAGCTCAAAACCAAGAGAAGGCTACAACTCCACCATAAGAGATGCCTTAAACAGAAGCCCAACTAACAGCAAGAAATGGACCAGTGGCCATGGTTGGGTCAGCCTCAGTGGGAAGCATTCTTCTAGGTTTTTCAATGAAATTTGCCTCTGTGTAATCTCCCGTTGGTCTCCAGTTTGCTGAAGACCTCTTCCAGTTGCCTCCAAACCAGTTTCTATCTTCATCACATGGAGACTATCAGTAATATCAATACTACTGGTACCCCAGAGTTTCTTTAAGAGAATAAAATATAACCTACACTTATAATCTACAATGATTTAGAAGACTGAATTGCAGTATCATATTAAAACCACAGTTTGGGCAACTATGGCTGAATACATAATAAAGAGGTATTTGTCCCTTTGTTCTTTTTTCTCTCCCCTTTCTCTTTTTATTTTATAAATTTAATTTTTTTTTTCAACGTTTATTTATTTTTGGGACAGAGAGAGACAGAGCATGAATGGGGGAGGGGCAGAGAGAGAGGGAGACACAGAATCGGAAACAGGCTCCAGGCTCCGAGCCATCAGCCCAGAGCCTGACACGGGGCTCGAACTCACGGACCACGAGATCGTGACCTCAGGCGCCCCATAAATTTAATTTTTTTTAACGTTTATTCATTTTTGAGAGAGACAGAGCATGAACAGAGGAGGGGCAGAGAGAGAAGCAGACACCGAATCCAAAGCAGGCTCCAGGCTCTCAGCTGTCAGCACAGAGCCCAATGCAGGGCTCAAAACCACAGACCGCAAGATCATGACCTGAGACGAAGTCAGACACTTAACTGACTGAGTCACACGGGCGCCACACCGCTCCCTTTTTTCTGTTTAAAGAAAGCTGAACGAGGGAGAGTTAAAAGAAAATACAATTATCTATTCAGACTTAAGTTGCATTTATAATCAGAAAAAAAATCTAATATAAAAAGAAAATATCTTAAGTACTTAGAAGATAAAGGATCAACAGGCAGATACATTAAAACTTGGCCATCATTTTATTAGAAACTTCTCTGCCTGATTTGTGTATTGTTATTCAAACAATAAAAACTCCTAGAATTTGCTTTTTTAAAAAAAAAGCATGGGATGTTACTGGGCTGCTTGGCTGTTTCTTTTTACTCACCCTTTTTTGTGTTTGGTTTAATGCATACAGTCATGAATCCACCACCAGAATCAAAATATGTAACATTTCTAACACCACAAAATATCCTGCTACCCTCATATCAATCGCTCCACCCCAGCTTGTCCCCTCTTAGTTTTAAGGACAATTGTGATATTTCTTTTTCAGAAGTCAAACCTTTGAACATCTCATGGATTCCCAAGACAGTTCATTGCACTCCATTTGAAAACTTAGTATAGTATTAATAAATCAATGCACCCTCTCTGGGCCTAAGGTTTCTATACTCTAAGAAATATGGGGGAAAAGATGAGCAGAATGAATCACAGAACCCTGTTTAAACTTATATTCCTAAACTTATCTGTCTAGCAAAACGTTTTTTTCCTGAATGCAAATGGACACGAATACATTTACACACAGAGCAAGAATATACTGGAACTGAATTGGTCAAATGTAATACTGGAAGAAATTTTTTATATATCATTAATGATGATTGTTGGGGAGCCTGGGTAGCTCAGTTGGTTTAGCGTCTGACTTTGATTATGGCTCAGGTCATGATTCCAGGGTCGTGGGATCGAGCCCCAAGTTGGAATCCATGCTGAGCATGGAGCCTGCTTAAGATTCTCTCCCTCTCTCTCTCTCTCTCTCTCTCTCTCTCTCTCTCTGCCCTCCTCCCCCACTTGCACTCTTGCTCTCTCTCTTCTCTATAAAATTTAAAAAGAAGAAGAAGGAGGAGGAGGAGGAGGAGGGGAAATGTGATCAGGAAAAAATTTAACTGGAAACTTGTTCTTTTATTATTTATTGTTAATAAACTAGATAACCATAATATTTGCCTTGTTATTGCCAAATAATATTACAATTCAGTTAAGGTCATTTGAAGACATTCTCTAACAAACCAGAATTGTGTGCTTGTCATCTGTTCCTTGTCATCCTCCTTTCACTCCAAAGGTACAGGCTAAAGAGATCTGGGTGGAACTGACCTACTCCAGTTCATGGAGAGAGTGAGTCTGACTGGCTTAACCTGGAGGAACAGCAAAGTCTAAACCAATCAGCACAATGCATTTCTCTACCCATACTTACCAGTTCAGAGATAGGCATGTAACCTAAACCAGTCAAATCAAAAGGGACGCCAAGGTTTCCTTCCTAGGAATGCTCATATATAAAACATCTTCCTCCAGAGTATAAATGCAGAAGGTGTTGGAAGATTTAAGTACCTCAAGGTTTCCAGGTGGCTGCCTTGAGGTAAATCTGACATCACAGAGGGCAGAAAGGAAACTAACTCATGACACAGAGAAACTGGGTCATTTGATGAAGTTGTTGGACCTATTAAGCTTCGCTTGAAACCTATATCCTCTTTGGACTTTTGATTACATGTAAGGAAATTATTTTGTTGATTACAATTTCAGACTCATTTTCTGTTACTAATAGACATAAATTGTCATATTTCATTTTTTAAACCTGTTATATTTTATAATTCATTTTTATTATAGAGCTGTAATATAGACAAGATTGTTAGTATTGGCATTATGAATCCATGTTCCATTAATTTAAGTTCCTCTGAGGCTAAAGTCTTAATTAATTCTCAGGCAGATCTCTTGGATTTCTTTTCCTTCCCTTTGTGAGAAAGGTTATATGGATTTTACTTTTACTGTCATAGAAACATGGAGCTTGAAAAAATATGTTCAACCAATATTTGAGATTTTCTTTGTATATCTCCAATAGACGGTAATAGTTTTATGCATTTAAACAAATTCTACTTATTCACATATATAGGCTGCCTTGTGTCTTATAAAGTTATTTCTAATTCTCGAACTATACACTTAAACTACTTCCCCAAGAGTAACTCAATAAATATACTAGCAGATGCCAATCAAAATTTTAACATAAATCTTAAAAACATAATAAATTAAGATGGTGTAGAAGCTTCTGGGTTGGTGAACACAACTGCTGGGAAGGTGGCACCACTCAAAGAGTGCACGTAAGTTCAATCCCCCCACTCCCATACCTTTCTGTGATATTGTGATTTAGAATAAGAAATGCATGTTTGGCCTTCTTCTGGGTCCCTGGCAAAGAGCTCCTAAAAACCTTGGCATTTCTGAGGAGTGGGATAAAGGTATCTTTTGTTATATTAATGAGGTTACTTTTGGAAAACGCCTAGGTAACCTAAGGATGGGGGTGGTTCCAAGGGGAACCTCGGGGGACTAGAGGATTAGTAGTCCCCCTTCACCTCCAGGGAGTGATTTAATCAACTATGCCTATGTAATGAAGCCTCCATATAAATCCAAAAGGATGAGTTTCAGAGAGCTTCCAGACTGGTGAACATATCTGGAGATTTGGGGAAAGGGGCTCACAGAGCATGAAGTTCCTGTCCTTTCTCACCTACCTTGGCTTATGCATCTCTTCCTTCCAGCTCTTCCTCAGTTATATCCTTTTATAATGTTAAAATAAATTTCTAAGCCTAAGATGGAGCCATCTCCAGCCCAGGGTGCATCATCAGCAAACTAAACTTTTGTGTTCCGGGGCGCCTGGGTGGCCCAGTCGGTTAAGCGTCCAACTTCCACTCAGGTCATGATCTCACAATCCGTGAGTCGTGAGTCAAGTCGTGAGTCAAGCCCTGCATCAGGCTCTGTGCTGACAGCTGAGAGCCTGGAGCCTGCTTCGGATTCTGTGTCTCCCTCTCTCTATGACCCTCCCCCGTTCATGCTCTGTCTCTCTCTGTCTCAAAAATAAATAAACATTAAAAAATAACTTTTAACTTTTGTGTTCCTGTAAATGGTCAGATTGACCAGAAACGTGGTATATATCCAGTCAGCTACTCCCCTAACACCAGACAACTCTATACTTATTTGCTTGTTCCTTGATCTCTCTAAATAAAGTCAGATATGCAATCCTAGCCAATGATGCCATTTCCACGTTGCCCCTTCTAACACTCTGCAAAATACACGCTTGCCCAACATGCCTTGGGAGGAGTATTCCACTGCTTCTAAGGCACTGTACACTACAAATCCACGCAGTTTTTCCCTTGAATAAAGAACATGAAACTCATTACTAAATTGTTTGTCATCTGACAATTAGAAACCATAATCTAGTAAGTAAAATGCTTCTCTGAGTTCTATGAACCACTCTAGCAAATTAAATGAACCCAAGTAGGGGGTCATGGGAATCTCTGATCTCGAACTGGTTGGTCAGAAGTACAGGTGGAGGGGCGCCTGGGTGGCTCAGTCGGTTAAGCATCCGACTTTTGCTCAGGTCATGATCTCACGATTCATGGGTTCTAGCCCCGCATCGGGCTCTGTGCTGACA